TCATACTCGTGATATTAAAGATGTATGTATGCACATAAATTCCCTGTCGCCTACTGCGTTTTGATTAGGAGCTGACAGAAAAATGGAGGTAACAAATAAAATATATAGAAGATGGAATTTTAAACAGAACAAAGTTGTTATTAGAATATATTTGCACATCATTGTATTATTTGTTCACAAGCACATACACACTCAGCTATCCAAGGCTGAGCAGAGTCTGCTGTCACATCTAACTTGTCAAATAGGAACATGCCTCTCAGCCACTTTTTTCAGTCTTGCTGGCAACAGCGGACATAAGCTGAGCTATGGTCTTCGGGGTAGAGGATGCTCTTTTAAGCAAAGAGCTTGAAACACATTGTAACTGTGTGATCACTTGACTTTTGTTTTTCAGTTAGACGTAAAACTGGACAGGAAAACAAAATTATGAAATATGATCAGTGCACCAATCTCCTTTTTAATAATTGTCTACATCAGAAACAGTATGTCCCTCCATTTCCACTGCATTCCCCAAGTTACATTCATGAAAACGTCCTTTGAGTCCTTCCCTGTGAAGAACAATACCATGTAGACCATCTAGACTCCCCCCACCGATAACCACTGCGCAAACACTTGCAGCGGTGATATGTCATGCTGTGTTTACTTGTGCAGAGCCTTCTGTTATGACATCCAATACACCACTCCCCCAGTTTATTGTTGTTCTAGTATTCTTTCACTTAAGACAATATTAGGTTATGGAAAAAATATGGGGTTTTGATTAAATACCAAAATAGCACTAAACTTCATCATGGAAATTGTTTTACCATATCTTGAACAACAGTTGTCTGTCCACATTTTAGCCTCTAAATCCAGTGGTGCTTGTTGTCTAGTGTGTGTTAATCACTTGCAACAGGCTTTCTCCCTCTTATTTTCATGGGTAATTGGCTATGCAGCACATGGAACCAGAGACCTGCAGGCAGCCACAGAGGAGGGGTAACACTGGGATTGAAGAAACTGAGATTACTGAAGCGTGTCAAGTCCTATTCCCTTCATTCAATTTCTCTATCCCATTGTTTACTTATTAATTTTGTGCTTTCCGTTTTCCTCAAACACACCATGCTCTGACCAACTGCCTGTACATATATTTTTCAGATTCCTCCATCTGTCTTGCCTTCCCTTAAATTTCCTCTTCATTCTCACTCCTACACAGTCTGTGAATGCACCCATATCTTGATTAGACCTCTGGTAACGCCTGTGCAATTTCCTGAAAAATTATAGTGATAGATTTGCACAATATCAATCAGAGCAAATGTGGGGCTCGAAATAGCCCTCCACCATCGGCAAAAGATGTTTTTTGAGCAGTGGTTAAAGTAGGGTGATGTAAAAGTTTTCAGTCACACTCCCAGCGTGCTTTTGAACTCTTCTTTGAGCCCAGTTAATCTTTCTCATGATCAGAAATTACGTACTTTCAGTTCTATCAAATGTGCCGTTATAATTATTAAAAAACAGAAATTCGGGGCACCTGACAGCAGCCACCTCAGAAGATGAGCCGCTCCCTGGTGACTCTACAACTTGTACTACTTCCCTTCAACAAGCCGCTCTGAACGAGGTCACATTCCTCTGACCTCAGGGCATTATTACCCTGTAATCATGTGTTGCTCTGCATGGCTACATTTGTTATTTCTCGTTGACAGCTTAATGTTAGAAGAAAGCAATTTTACCTGATGGATGGTCATAAGAGAGGCAGAGGATATATCAGCTTCATGCCTCGCCAGTGAATTATGCACAACAAAATCCCATAGATGCCCAAGCCGGCTGCGCCACAATACCTGCCTTCTCAAATATACTAGTAGTCTACGTGCCAGAGCTGCAAGGACTTTTCAGCTTGTCAGAATGTGCATGAGGCCTATTCATTACCGCAGTTTTTACTTGTCCTCTCAAATTAAACAGGCTGTCAGTCCTTACATTACCACAGCGCTATAAAAAATAGTTGACTTATTTTCAGGCAGCATAGCTTGGACTACTGCTTCACAGGTCTCAGGCCATTCATGATCACAAAAATCAATCCAAGCTGCTCCTCTGGCCCGCACTTTGTCTGTTGGCGGCAATAGGGATAACGTATCAAAGTGGGCCTCCTCAATCTTGTCACTTTAAGTGCAATCAATACTGCTTCCCCACCAACCGAATGCCTCTGAATACCAGCCCCTCACTCCTTACACTAGGCTGAACATTTCAATCAATATCTGACTAGAGGCTAAAAACATCTGCAGAAGCAGCAACAAAAAGTGAGACAGAATTAAATGCTTTACAATATACTGAAGACAGTGACACACAGTAATGCAATGAATGAAAACAGTTGGATACAAAAAGGAAAAATTTTCTCATAATCTCTATGACGTGTCTACACAGACCATGCTTGTGTGGTGGTGTACGTGTTAAATGGTTCAAGTCTTGACACAAAGTAATTTCAGTGAAAACAACAACTCACTTTCAGCACTGAGCGTGTATTCACTCAGCTTAGATAATCAAGCACCACAAAACTGCTCAATTAGTGCTACAATACAATTAGCAGAACAGAAAGCTTTTTATCTTTCAAACAGGTTTTCCAGCATGGGTTTTCATTGTGAATATGTTGTCCCCACAGCCTCATAAATCACTGTAGACAATTCTCAATGCATGGCCTGCTATTGGCTTCCAGACGGCTCCAATCCATAAAAGCAAGCCTCTGGCCAACGTACCTGTAAATTAGTCTACCTAAAAAATTCAAGCATCTAGGTGCTTGGCACTGGAAACGATTGCATTAATTGCCTCGAGGATTAGGAGACACAGACCTCCACTCCCTCATGCATATTTGACACTTCTAGCAGCATGCTTAGGCCGCTGTTGTAGCTAATGGATGATGTTTGGTATGGTGCCGCATATGTATTAGCTTCCAAGCTATGAGTGGGTATGTGGAAAGCGCATCCCCGTGCATGCCTATCTGTCTGAGCATGTGGTGGGTTGGCTCTGTTATCTTGAGCCAGCCAGGGTGAGTGTAGGGCTGGGTGGTCGCGTTGCTGCTTCCTAATTGTTGTGACTGCTCCCACTACCCTTGCCCTCAAAGACTGGCACTGCCCTCTCCTGTAAATCTGTCCTGGGGATTTGGCTGGCTTGACACGGAACTGACCTGATAGTCCTTTGGGTGTGTTGTGTGCAGAGACACACAAACTCTCATACAAATGAGCGGCACAGATATGCACTTAGACAGAGAAATGCACGCACATATCTATACACAATCTCAATCTCAGTGAAATTAAAGAGCCGCAGAACTCCATTTGAGATACGGTTCTGGACAGCATCGCTGTGATGAAGAGGGAGAGCTCTTGACAGTGTTGTTGGTGGAATGGCATCAAACAGTGGTGTGAGTATGTGTGTGTACGTGCAGATTCCACGTCTGCTGATAATGTCCACACACACACACTCCCACAGAGAGAAGTGAGGTTGTTATCAAGTGCTCGCACATTGCTATACATGACGTCCTTTTTGAGTGCAGAGATTGTCTGGCATGACAGAGTGACACCTGATCTGATGGGGGTTTTTTAAACTTCTAAATATGCACCACAGCCTCAGAAAGATATTCCTGTCCATGAAAACAGTTGGATGTGTAAGTGAATCAATTGCTTTTTGCAGAGGAAAGTCAATCTCTAGTGACCCAAAGCGTCCAAAGAAGAAGTCCAAAGAAATCTAAATAAACAGTCATTATACAAGAACACTGTTGCAAATAGGTGTTTTTTGAGCTATTAAACTTCTAAACTGAACAACAAATACCAGTGAAACAAGGCATGAAATGGTTTACTGATGTGTATACTGATGTCAATTTGCAATGCATTAGGGATGTACCCAAATCGGAATATGAGCTAGTTATAATGGGACAGACAAGCTGAGTGGAATGGTTATAATATGAAGTGAGAATGGTCAAGCAAAGAAGTTTAATTAAGATGAGATTGTTGAGGACTTTGCGGTGAACAAGACTCACAGAATGACATTCAGACAGGTACACAACCATTGTTAAAAATGTGCAGTTCTCTGTGATTTGTGTTTGTGGCTGTGGCCACTGTGGAGTTTATATTGTTTACACATCTCTGTGTTGTCTGCTTTGCCGAAGTTTTATTGTGCAGTGGCAGTTTATTTCTTATTATTATTATTTTCTTTATTATAAATAGTTTCCATTTCATTGTAGAAAACATTGTTTGCAGTTTCTGATTGTTGAATGCCCCCAGTTAGAGGTTGGGTGGCGGTGACCTCCTGTGTAAACTACATCCATTTCCGGTCTCTATCCAAATACACATACAGAGAATGACTTCTATGTACACCTCTAGTATGCATTACCATGAATGACTACTTAACTGAGATCATCTGAATTGTCCTTTATGCAACTAACCCCCCACCACTACTCTAAAGCCACACTGTGAGCACTACACTGTTTATATGTTCAAGGTGTCAGCATGACTGTATCACAATGCAGTATGTGAGGATTCGTAACTCTGCTTTTTACTTCACGGTCAAGAGCTCTTTTCCATCTATTGATGTAGAACAAGCTCTTGTAACACCATTGACAAGTTAGAAAAATGTCGCACACATACTATAATAATGGCAGAGAAATACAAGCATTTGCATTAAACCATCCTAGGACCTAGACTTAAGTGCACAAAATTGAAGGTATCCCTTTAAAGAATTCCAGCAAATATGACAGTGACAGTGAACCACAAATTACCTGAATGGATAATGATCACATTTTTTCACATGCATGATGAAAACATTTAGAATCATTAATGCTACCTACCAGGTTCAGTGAAGTGATTCAAATTTAGGGGAGGTATACAATATTTAAATATGTCATTTGTCATTATATTTCAGTCTGCCAAGATTTCATAGATAAGTTGAAATTAATGCGAGCACTGACCATGTCAAGACAGACATAACTCTTTTTTAAAAAAATTGAATAAATATATTTCACTCCAGAGTCAGAGTGTGTTGGTACTTACAGCAGGTGTTAAGCAGTCCGTTGGGCTTTCTCGCACTTGGACGGCATATTCAGAGAGTGTGAGTTCAATGTAGCACCGGAGAGGCTTTCTTTGACAGAAGGAAGCGATGGACGTGTCTGGCTCCAGCTTCATGGTTAATAGCCATGGCCACTGTTAAAAAATTTAAAAATAAATCAGGGTGAGCACTGGGCAAATAATGTAGTGCTGCCTTCAAGTCACTCCAACTACAACTTTAAAGCTATGCTAGGTAATGTGTTTCAGAAGCAATTTTTGTTTCTGTTGAAAGTATCCCTACATCCTGTGCACTCATTGTGCGTGAAAATGTGTTTTAGGGGAGTGGCTTTAGAAGGCTCACTGGTGACATATTTTCAGTTGGATACTAAAATATAGGTGTCTCTTGCTAGTTTCTCCAACATTACCTACCCTAGCTTTAATTGTGTGCTCTTCACAACACCTATGCATGTTCAGTGCCAATGGTTTAAAATGATATCTGAAAATTCTGTTCATGGCAACTTCAGTGTGGTTAAGATGGGGAAAAAAATCTATGTCTAATGTTTAGTTTTTTGGAAAATACTCTTTTCTTACTGAGAATTGGATGAGAAGATTATATAGCACTCATGTTTGTCTGTTAAATATGAAACTACAGTCAGAAGCTCACCATAAACACTGGAAACAAGGTAAAAACAGCTGGTCTGGCTTTGTCCAAAAGTTACAAAATCCTCCTACCAGCACCTCTAAAGATCACTGGTTAACACATTAGATACCTCACATTTACCCATACCAAAACCTAGCTGTATACAATTTTTGGTTTTACAACAGGTCTCTCAATCTTTAAAATAAGCCAAGCTGTCTCTATATATATGAGAGTGGTGTTGGTCTTCTAGCTCTGTGCGAACTAACTAGCTAACGGTCAAATTTGATTCAATAACCCCCCACAAGATCAAGGTGAGTCATCAACAAATATTATTACTGACAGAGAAAAAAGATTGTTGGATTTCTGTAAATAATATCAGTACAGTCTACACCTGCTCTTTTATGATAATGTGCTATGAGATAACTGTTGTTGTGATATGGCGCTATATAAATAAAATTGAATGTGAATTTGTAAATTGTTCTGTCTTGAGCACATAATTCATGCATTGCCGCTTAATGTTGACATTGGGTGTTGTGTAAATCATGCAAAATATTTTTCCTTTAGGATTCTGCGCTGGTCATCCATGATCAGAAACCACTGATACAGTTTAAAGGTTAAAACTGGTTTATTGAGCTAGCCTGGGGTTTAAAATTCAGTTCTCACTATGTAAATTACACAGTCCTCAATCCCTACGGACCAGTAACCCCAAATACAAGGAAGGTATACATCCTGCATGACAATGAAAGAAAATGATGAAGGTTTTGATCACTTTCAATGTAAATGACTGTGACCTAAGTTCACTATATGTGCACACCCTTTATGGAAGCCACAGTCCTTTGAGACTATTATCCTAAAGTGCTGTAGCACTCATATTTCCAGAGGAGCCAATAACAGGAACAACTCATGTATAAATGTAAATTTCACCCAGAGCACCTTGCAGGAACCACAGCAGTTTAGAAATCTCTTTACCCAAGCCTGGCACGCTTATTAAAAACAGCGCTTAACAAGCCGCTGTTTGTCTTTAGCATATGAAGAGCAAGAACAAAACAATGTCACACCTGCTTTTGAACTGCAGGCAGAGCAATATCTAGAGCTGTAGAAGTTGAGGGAAGGACAGCAGCTGATAATGGGATAAACCCTGAGGCTACAGTGTTTAGTACACTAAGTCAGTCATTGCTGGGGAAGAGATGTATTGTCATGATAACAACTTGTGTTTATGGCATGTCCCGGCACAGACACATTAGCCATTGCTGTCTGCTGCATGCCATTCACTGTTATGACTAATCACAACACAAGCCAGCGGAGAAATACCAGAACCCCCAACTTTTGAAATGAAACAGCTTCCTTGAAGAAAAGAACGTTGCTTCGGCAGAGCGCAAAAAACAGCAGGGCTTTAGTGGGTGAAGGATTTGGGGAAAGCTGGAGGGTGAAACATGTTGAGGCTGTGTGATGCATCGCTCTTGTCTCACATTGTTAGACAACACATTGTCCGAATGATTTCCCCGTGGTAAAAATCTGCGTAATGATCTTTATCTCTGGTGCTCTAATTCATTTATTATGCTAATAGGAAAAGCCGTTGGTCTGATCAGACATTGCATAAACATAAGTGTACTTCAATGTTCCCTAATCATGTTGGAAGAGGATTCAAAGGCTCCTAGCAATTGTGCGGCATTATAAGATGATGAAAATTATTCAGAAATTTGTCAGATGATGATAAGGGTTTAAAATATCTAATAGGCAGCCTGGATGTGGATTGCAATCTCCCTCGCCAACAGGCAGTTAATTCCCCCATGAGCAAATCTGAGAATTCTGAATAAATGTGCAGTAAGGCTTAACATATACAGATGAGATATACTGCACACTGATGGCTGTAGGGTTGCATGACCTTATCAGAGTTTCTTTGCTGCTCCAAGCAGTGGACTTACTGTGTGTGTGTGACAGTGAAAATGTCCATCAAGAATATAAAGAAGAGTGCATGTTTTCCCTGGGCGCAGCTTGACCCAGGCAGCTGTTTTTATCCACACAGCAGACTGTCATCACTGAGGAGCACTAAATGTTTGGTAGAGAACATGCTTGTTGAACTGCTTGGACACTACGTGGACAATGAAATCCTGAGATGTGTCTAAGTCCTGTAAAGATATAGGAATGAACTTGCCAGCTGGTTAGTGTGCTGGCTCTTAGCTCAAGAAAAAAAAACAACTTTTGTGCTATTTTAACTACACAAATATCACAGTTTACATTTTGTGGCTTGGATCGCCAACTGAACTAATTTATCCCAATTATTGTGTGGACAATCAGATTTAGTTCTGCATGCCTCTGCTTTCACACCCATAATCATGTCCCTTCAAGATACATATTAAATTGGGTGCCTTAGAGCTTGCTGGGCTGCCAACTAAATCACATTTACATCTGATTACACTTCTAAAAGCACATTTTGTAGATATGTGTGCCTAATATTGAAACTTATTTCCCAGATTTATGCAGTTTTCAGCCGAAATAGTGAAACAGTGGTTGTTGTTCTCTCTCACTGATAACAGTGCTTATAATTGTTTTTGTTTGACAGCACCTTAACTCTGTTTTTGATTGCTGACGGTCAATTTCATTTAATGTCCAGAAGAACGGCAGCCTGTGGGAGTGGAAGGTTGTAAAATACACTGGGTAAGATATCTTTAAATTGATTGTTCACTAGTATCAGTAAATTACAACAACTGTAAACTCGAGGTAATGTCTGTGAAAATAATCAATATGCTTCTGAAGAGACATTTTAAAGCTGCCTGTTTGCTCACATTGTTTTCAACTGTTTTCAATTTTGCCAACAGGATGTAGCAAAAGGAACTGAACAAACAACCAGCAACCACCATAGTTCACTGTGACTGTTCAATTAGGACAAATACACAAAATTTTCAAAATAACCATCATAAAAAATGTTGACGAATATTATTGATTTTATATTTATAGTGTGTGAGTGTGTCAACATTTAGATGTGGTTGCAAGTTAGAGATATTACTCAGTTAAACTCTTTAGTTCATAAGTTTGCCTTGATTATACGGAATCATTAACAGGTTATTGTTGCGTTTTGGACTGCTGGTCAGACAAAACAAGACATTTGAAGACATCACTTTGGGCGTATTTGAATTTGTTATGAATATTTTTATAATACATGTAATACTTTTTCCACTAATAGACAAGTTCTTTGCAGCCCCAATAAAAATTTACTTGTGGCATGTCACAGAGTGAAGCTTCAGCCCATTTTAAGGTTTTACATCTGGTCTTGCTTTTATTATGAATATAGTTCACATCGGGTTATCTCAACAAAGCAATATAGTCCAGTTCCATTATGTAGAAAACTCTACACAGAAGAAAGATGTGGCATGCAGGCTATGGAAAATGAGTTTAGGTGTTCGCCAAACTAAATTTGATATCCACTGAGATTAAACAATTCATATCACTTTTATCTTATCACAACTTCATCTTAGAAAACCCCTCTGTGAAATTGTTGTTTTATGTCTGATGGCTGCACTTCTACACGAAGCCCCTAAGAGTGCCATTTTAACTGTCTTATAACAAAAACATGTTCACACTGCTATGAACTGTCAGAAGAGGTTTGGAGAGACCTCATCGAAAGCATAAGCAATAAAACAAGCCTTCCAGTGTTTCCATTTTTAAATACTCAGAAGGGAACGTCTTTAATGCAATTTCCTAGTACTTGGTGTCCCCTGACTGCCACTGCCAGGGCCCTCCTTCAAGTATAGGCTGCAGCTTTACTGCAACATCAGCATTATGATGGGGAAGAGGGAGGGGTTGGTTCTCCAAATCTGAACCTGGTCATAGATCTCAGCGGACATCTACAGTGGCTCTTCATTATCTGCTCTCAGCCAACATCCCAGCAGGGGGGCATGTGTCTGGGAAAAAAGCCTTGATTATGTAACTGTCTGAAAGGCTGGCTGTCAGCCTATTTACAGGCCAGCGCATCAATCATCTACTGACTCTGCATCTCTTTAGACTATCTGCGACTTATGCTTCGAATATACATGATGGATCTATATCCATGGTCTGCTGGTAAATGTTTTCCATTTAACTGCCTTCTGATCGATCAAGAAATTCAAATAACAAGTCACTAAACATGCATGGACAAGTGCCAACATTTATTAAATCTGAATCTTGACTAATGTAGCCATCACTCTTATTTTCAGTGGGGGGATGTTTCCGCACCTACAGTATATATCTAGCCAAATGTTTAAGCTTGAGAGACACATACAGCAGAGCTGCAAATACACTCGCCCACCGCTCCAGGTGCCGCCTAGATGAATGCAAAACCCAAACCAAACAAAGAGAGTGATTAGTGGATCTGCTTAACCTCAGGGAAGAAGGATCCCGTTATTAGACCAGAGAGTTTACTTAGCTATTTGCACTGCTGTCTGCCTTACTCCAGTCCTCTCCCTCTGCAGTCCCAACACAGTCCCACTCAGAGCTAAAAGCTCTAATTAGAGAAACTACCAAAGGATTTTTTGGCCGA